TGTAGTCTTTATATCTTCCATCAAAATAGGCTATTGGCATTGTTTAAAAGTGAAGTTACGGAAAAAACTGTGAATGGAATATAAGACATTGTAAATAATATAACATTCCTTTAAAAAAATTGATGGCACTTTGCCTCTTTAAATCTTTTAAATATAATAGTGTATGACTGTCATTCAGCAGTTCCTGATAATTATCAGTCCCTGATAATTGTGAAAATAGCTTTAGATACAAATTCATCCATTTATTATTGTTAAGTTGCATAGCCGTTCTTGCATAGAAGGAAGGAAGGAAGGAAGGAAGGAAGGAAGGAAGGAAGGAAGGAAGAAAGGAAGGAAGGAAGGAAGGAAGGAAGGATCCAGGAAAGGTTTATGGCCTGCTTATTGAGCAAGACTCCTGGAGGCAAGAATATAGAAATGGAGAAAGCAGTAGTGATGTAAAATGCTGATTGAATGTGGAGGATGGAAGGATTTATATTCCTTGCAGTCATTTGGTTGTTAGCATTCTTTTTCAGAGCCATTGAGACCACTTGGAGGTTTATCAGTGCCCTCAGGATCACCTGTACAATGCAAATAGGTGTAGAACCTTCTTGGAATTGCTAAAGGGACTGTGTTGTAAACAGGAGATAGGTGGTTGTATCAGTCAGAACTGAAGAAGCTTCTTGGATGAGAAGCGAAACATCTTCAAGGAAAAACAGTCCAGTTGCCTTTTGAAAAAGCACCTTTGGGACAGCCATGATCTGGATCCCTGAGAATCTCCATAGACATTTAGGGAAAGCAATGGTTTAATGTTGGAAATGTGCAGTTCCTTGGCAGAATTTGGTATATGCAGGATGCATGGCAACACTTCACACGATGTAGGATACATTAATGCAGAAGCAAAAATTATTTTGCCTAACCAATAATCAGAGCTGCATTTTCTCACTGCTCTGCCTTTACAATCTCTGATGGTACAGATTTCTACAAGTTGGCAGTATTTCTATGTCCCACATTAATCATAGAAATGAACTGCTTCAAGGATATTTCGGTCTTTTCACCATCGCTTCACATTCTAGTCCAGCTCACCCATTTTGGCCACTTTTCATTTTCATCCTTTACTGTCACCCTACACAAAAGAGATCATTTGATTCTCTCTGCAATCAGCCATCGCCATCCTGACGGGCGCCTTTTGTCTAGAAAGCACAATTGCATTTGTTGAAGGTTTATCCCCAGGCTTTTGTAATCATTCATTCTACACATCTTGCTGCTTCCTTCCCCCACCCCACCTATTTACCCATACGCTACACTTGGCTTCACTGCTTCAATGCATTCTGAACCTAGTATAGTCTAATAATTTTTGATAGACATTTGGGAGTGGAGACCACTTTAATAAGGTGTCAACACTCACATATCTTTAGCCTTTATATCTCACAATTTCTCTTCCGGACATTCAAAAAATGTTTTTATTGTATTGGGTTCCTAGTGATATTGGCACTATTCAAATGCTGATAAAGAGCCGAGATGGTGCAGTGGTTAGAGTGCTGTACTGCAGCAACTTCAGCTGACTGTTATCTGCAGTTCGGCTGTTCAAATCTCACCGGCTCAGGGTTGACTCAGCCTTCCATCCTTCCGAGGTGGGTAAAATGAGGACCCAGACTGGGGGGG